AAATATCACCTTCTCCTGCGCCAATACCACCTGTAAATATTTGGCAGGTAAGAAAGGATGCCATGAACGCAAAAAAGGTTACTGAAACTTCCAACCTTAACGATAAAGAAGCTATGACCGATATCAAAAAAACCGAAAATCTTAATATTGATCAACAAGAACCTTCAGATGGTACGTTACAATTTATTGTCACGTTTTGCAGGAATATGACATATTGCTAGAATTATTTCGTGCTCGTTGTTTCATTTTAAGGTGGATCTTTTAAGTCATTGGTTGTTGAAAGCTCATATACCGAATTATTTAAATAATTACCTCTAAATTTCCACTGTATGGGTTTTATCAGAAAATCGTCGTCAATATTTGATTATCTACTGGCTGGAATTAACCTTTATTTGGTTAAGAAAAGCCGATTACAAGTCAATAGTGTGCGTTGGGTAGACTATATACAGTCAATATTACAAAGATCGTAGAATTAACTTCTGCCTGGTTCCTTGTCTATTTTAAAAAGATTACAAAAGATTCGCTAAAAAAGAATCAAAGAAACAAAAGCCACCTCCAATATTACCTCCACTAGAAGATCAAAGTAGTTGGCCGGCTCCTGCGGAAGTTTTGATCAAAGATAAAGAAAAGGAACAAACTGAAACTTCCGAAAAGAAGCAATCCATTGATATCGGGACAAAAGATAGTCCAAAAAGAGGTGAAATATCTCTTCATTTATTTTGGCTTAATTATTAATTTCAATTTTTTGTTTTTTTTTTTTATACATTTTATCTCACCATTAATTGTACAATTGTTTAAAGGTAAAGGTAAATGGATTAAGTATACTCCAATAATCACACATAATGCACCATTACCAAGTCATGAGAGGTCAAAACCTCGGCGCCGTAGTGAAGATCATACCGGTCTTCGTGAACGTAAATCTAGCGAAAAAGTCATAAATTCTGAAGTGACAACTCCAACGGTGCAAAATCATAATCATAATACGAATAGACGTCGCGCAAGTGTACCTCCACCATCTAGAGAATATGGTCGTCGTTATTCACAACATGGTGACAATAATGTCGGTCATCATTCACATTCTAATAGTGGACCGCCGTTTCGTGGGGGTCGTAGGGGAGGAAGAGGTACGAATATATTTAATCTTATGACCTTCTTTTCATTGTGATTCAACTATTCATTTATAATTAAATAAATTAAAATGTGATATTCATTTTGATAAGGTCGATCATACAATAGTACACGCGGACCTCCTCGCTCGGTAACTTTACCTTATGCATCAACAACAGGATACGTTCAGCAATATGTCAGTGTATATGGAACAAAAGTTGGCTATGATATAGAGATTTTGAAATACTACATTTTACAACAAATGTACGCTCTACTTTAATTATTTCTTAAATTTTACATTTTTTTTGTTGATCTGAGTATCTTGACAACTTTGATTATTTAATATCTTAGAGAGTATTATTTCAGTATTGACAACCTTTGCAAGGATATATTTTTACGAAATAATGCAAGTCTATCTTTTAATATAACTAATGAACCATTTAATATCACTATACTATAATCTAACAGTGTTTACTATCATTTATTAGATGGATTCAGAAGGCTATGTACCAGTTTCTTTATTAGCAGGATTTAATAGGGTGAAAGCTTTAACAATGGACATTGAACTTGTCCGTGAGGTAGGATTTCTCATTTGAATAATTCTCAATATATTTAATGATGCTTACATGAAAGTTATTTTCTTAATATAGGCACTGCTTAATAGTTATATTGTTGAGGTTAATGATGATAAAGTTAGAAAGCGCGAAGGGTGGGAATCTTGGTTACTACCAAAAGTAGGGATTAAAATACAATTTATTTAAAATTTCGAACAATTGTCATTTATATTTATATATGCTTATATGATAATCCACTGCTTATTTTAGTACAAAATGGGTGAACATGATAATGGGCACACTAATAACGTACAAACAATGTCAGAATCTACCAGTCAACACTATGAGGTCCACATGAATGAAAGTATTCCTCCAATAGATGAAGATGAAAACAAAGAAAATGAGGAAATGCCTACAATTCCTGAGGGTCTCTCTGAAAATGGTTCTGCCATCACAAATCCATGGATTCTTCATACTAAAAAACGTCGTACATTATCGTCACCAACATCTCCTAAAGTGACTCCAAAATCATCCCGTGACATTCCAAAACCAACTTCAACTGGTGATGATGAACTTTTTCAACTTGATGAAGATTGGGCTGGCGATTCAAGAAATAATACTGTACAAAAATACTGCGCCTCATCAGATGAAGAGGATGATGATGATGAATTTGATGATGATACTGTTGCTAGTATCTTAATTGTAACACAAAAGAAAAGAGACAAAAGTCATGTCCCTTTTGAAAGAAAGGCAATGAACGGTGAGATTACTCATCATTTTAAATATGCACACAATTTTATTTAAGATTCTATAAATTAGCTAATTTCTTTTTGTTCACATCCATTATAGATGAGATTGCAGAAATGATAAATGAAGGTTTATATAGATATGAACACGATTTACAAAAACAAAAGTTAGTACTATAATATTTTTATCGATGAAATGGTTTTTTATTAAATAATAATATTTGTTAACAATCGTTAATTAATAGGCGTGTTAGTGGGACACGAAAAGTGGATATTATTAGGTAAACTTCAATTATGATTGTAGTATGCTAGTGTTATTTGATAAATTCAATTTTTAACTTTTTACTTTCTTAAATAGTGAAGAACAATTTACTTCAATAGTTTCATCTACTAAATCAAAAGAGGGGTTATCCAATTCAAACAATTCAGGGGTCAACCTATCGAGTAAAGTTGTCACAACTGATAATTACACCAAAGGGTAAGAATTTCTTTAGCAGCTTTTATTTAGTTGTTTAGAATATAATTCTTCATGATTTTGTATAATAATCGATACATATTCTGAATTTGAGAACAGCAAGAAAAAGTCTACGCGCTTTTGGCCTGTTAAGGGTGCGCAAGATGCAGTTGGCTGGATTCTTGGGTAAGTAATTAATTGACTCGATGATTATGTATGCACATATTGGCTTAACTATTCTCATAACCTCTTGTTATTTATTTTATGCAGTGATCAACCTTACCATCCACAAGAAGGCACTTCACCAGCGAGCCTATCACTCTCACCTTTAAGTCATACTAATGGCACGCCAAATAATTGCTCGGAACAACTATCCTCATCCGTTGATATTGCACGATCATTTCCAGTTTTTCAACATCCCAGTCACGAACTCTTGCGCGAAAATGGGTTTATTCAACATAAATATTATAAATATCATGCTAAAGCTTTGAAAGGTACTTTTGAATTATTTTATGATTTATAAAGAATTTTTAGAATACATGAAAGATTTGATTATCTTAGTTTATATTATTCATGAACATCAAATATCAAATTTAAAACAGAACGTAAACGTCAAGGAATCGGCCAGTCTCAAGAGATGAATACCCTCTTTCGATTCTGGTCACATTTCTTACGTGAACATTTCAACAAACGAATGTATTCCGAGTTTAAGAAATTTGCAGTTGAAGATGCAAACTCTAATTATCGTTATGGTCTTGAATGTTTATTCCGATTTTACTCTTATGGTCTTGAGAAAAAATATCGGCAAGATCTATTTGATGATTTTCAGGAATTAACTTTGTCAGACTGCGAAAACGGGCATCTTTACGGACTTGAGAAGTTTTGGGCTTACTTGTTTTATAGGAAAGACAAGAATAAGAGAACAGTGGAAGTATGCGAGAAGCTTAATAAATATTTAGACAAATATCAGGTAACATTCATAATTAACTTGAATATGTATTTCACGTTAAAGTTGCTAATAATTGGCATTTTCACAGAATATTGATGACTTTAAAAGTGCTTATAAGACCGAGCGGGCTCAATTAACAAATAATAATTGCGCAACTCCACATCTTAGTCATCGTGCTTCACCAGCCTCACCTTTAACACCTTATTCTGTTATTTCGGCTGATAACTTTCCTCCATTAGCTGTAACAGCATTGCGATAAGTTAATTTAACAGTAGCACGAGGGTGAGTTTCATGTATGAGGAGTCCTGTAGAAAAGTATGGTTTAATAAGTTAACAGGTGTTGTATTATATACTGTGAGGTGTTTCTGGATTTAATTTCCGACATTTGTCGCCGTCTTGCAACGTCAAGTTATAAATAGTTTTTCTTGTTTA